GGATGCACTATCTGGATGTTAGGCAGGCACTGGCCTTCCACATAGAGCACACTAAGCCGTTCAGGAAGTCAAACCAGTTGTTTGTAGCAGTAGGAGATCAGATGAAAGGACTCCTGGTCTCATCTCAAAGAATTTCTTCCTGGATCACATCCTGCATCCAAACGTGCTACAAGCTGGCCAAGATATCAGCCCCAGCACTTATGGCACACTCCACAAGGGAACAGGCCTCATCAGCGGCATTCCTGGCCCAGATCCTGATCCAAGAAGTCTGCAGGGCAGCAACTTGATCCTTGGTACATACCTTCACCTCTCATTACACCATCATCCAGCATGCCAGAGATGACGCAGCTTTTGGCAGAGCGGTGATTCCATAACTCTGACCCCACCTCCTAGATAAGGCTTGGGAGTCACCTAATTGGAATTGATATGAGCAAGCACTCGAAGAAGAAGAAATAGTTACTCACCAACTCGTAACTTGTTCTTCGAGATGTGCTGCTCCTATCCATTCCAATACCCATCCTTCTACCCCTCTGTCAGAGTAGCTGGCAAGAAGGAACCGAGAAGGGGCTGGGTTGGCAGGGGCATATATTGAGCGCCATTACGGCGCCACTCCAGGGGGCTCCACAGCTGACCCGATGGGAGCTGCTAAGGGAAAACTTTCTGACAACTGTGCATGCGGTGCTCACACACTTAATTGGAATGAATATGAGCAACACATCTCAAAGAACAGTTACGAGAAGGTGAGTAACCGTTTTTAGTTGTGTTAATTTTTATGTTGAAAGCATTGCTCCCTCCCATTGCAGAGAAGACTAAGTCTAGAAGATTTAAAGAAATAGTGTCAAAATGTTCACAATTTAGGGCATTAACTATTAGCACAATTAAAAATGTTTTGTAACTAACAGCAACACAGTTTTACTACTAGTCTCACAAGCAGTTTACATTACACAGTACAAAGAAGTACTGATGCTTTGTACTCTTATTTTATATTTACTGGTAGGTGTTTAAATTTAGGTAAGATAGTAATTTTTCCAGTTGCTATTCTTTTCTTGAACTAGAAAAATATTTAGAGCATTGCACTAACACTAAAGGGTAGAAAGTGATGTATTAGTAGATAATATTTGCTTTCATAATATAAATAATAATAAGTCTTGATTTTGCCACCCACTCTTGCATAGCAAGGTACATAATGTAAGTAGTTCTACTACCTTTAAAGGGCCTGCTTGTGTATCTGGACACTGATAAGTATAAGAGTGGTACAATGAGGCCCATATAAACAATACCATCCCACAAGAAACCACAACACTTTACAAACCTAAACTGATATACAGAGAAAATTAATTTTTAGTACTCATGAATGCAGTTCTATTCCAGGGCTGAATTTAGGGCACAAGTGAAAAACTGGTAGATATACTGGTAGAGAAATGCAGCCACATTTAGTGAAAAATACAGCAAATGTTTAAACAAAGAACAGCAACCCTGCATAACAGCTCAGGAAAGGAAGAACAAAGCCTCATACAACTGAAAATGCCTGGAGAATATAGAAGACAGAATGTAATTACAGCAACGGAATGTAATCAGGACATGGAGGTTAGCACTCATACTCTTAAGAAAAGTACCATGAGATCTTTAAATGACTACAAATGGCCATGGTCTCAGTTATATATCTCAGCGAGACAACATCTGCCTGAAGACAGTGTTCTCTAATATCAGGTTGGTCCGTGCCTACAGAGAGAAGACTTCCACCTGTTGAATCACCAGTACCACTGTCTGTAGTCCTTAGGACTTCCTTGGATGTCTCCTATCTAGAAGTGATCCAACTGAAACCAGAGATCTAACTGGTCCACAGCATAGTGTGGCATGGCACATTTTCTTATGTTTTAAAAATCCCTAGTGCACCACTTATAGTGGAAGTTATTTACTGGGATAGATCTGAACCACTTCGTTAACATAATCCAAATCATTTTGAAAAAATCATTGGCTAGATCTCCAGATAAGTCCCTGTGGCAATGTCTTCACTGCCGAGTTAAGTTGAATTATCTGTGTTTGAGTTAGCTTAACTCAAATGAAAGCTGCCACACGATGAAATAACGCTGGAGTTGCAAAAATTATTGGATTAGCAGCATAGTTTGATTATGTTAGTATCTGACGAGTTGTGCTAACTCAGGCTGTAGGCCAGGGGTGGACAAACTTTTTGGCCAGAGGGCTACATTGGGGTTACGAAATGGTGTGGAGGGCAGGGTAGGGAAGGCTGTGCCTCCACAAACAGCCTGCCCCTGCCCACTATCTGCCCCCCCCTGACTGCCCCCCCTCAGAACCCCCGACCCATCCAACCCCCCCACTCCTTGTCCCGACTGCCCCCTCCCGGGACTCCCCACCCCTAACCGCCCCACTGTGACCCCACCCCCTATCCAACCCCCCCTGCTCCCTGTCCCAGACTGCCCCTCCCAGGACCCCCATCCCTAACTGCCCCTCCGTATCCCCCCGCTCCCTGCTCCCCCCTCCTGGGACTCCCCCCCCGTCTCCTGACTGCCCTTCCCCGAATCTCCACCCCATCCAACCACCCCCTGCCCCTCTCGGGACCTCCCGCCCCTTATCCAACCTCCCCTCCCACTGCCCCCTTACCATGCCGTTCAGAGCGGCAGGACAAGCTTATTGGAAAGCCCAGGAGGTGTGGGGGGCGCAAGCAAAAAGTGAAACGGCAAGGGGAGGGGCCGGGGGCTAGCCTCCCCGGCCAGGAGCTCAGGGGCGGGGAGGACAGTACTGCGGGCCATAGTTTGCCCACCTCTGCTGTACGCTATACCCCATAATGGACCAGCCATCTTGAATTAAAAGCACCACCACACTAGAGTTAGGGTTTTTTTTGCATGGACAGGACTCAAGCTAGCTCAGCACTGAAGGGAAGCACCTCATGTCATAAGGGTATGTCAACACAGCAAATAAAAAAAAATCCTATGGCAATGAGTCTCAGAGCCTAGGTCAACTGACTCAGGCTCACGCTGCGGAGACAAAAGTTCAACCTTGGACTGTAGCCATGCCTCTGAAACTCGGCAAGGGGGGAGGGTCTTGGAGCCCAGGCTCAACCAGAGCCCAAACGTCTACAGTGATATTTTTAGCCCTTCAGCTCGAGCCCAAGTCAGGTGACCTGGGCTCTCAGACTTTATTGCCTCAGGGATCTTTTTGTTTTTGCTGTGTAGACATACAGAGAATACACTCCAATCAATGCAATGGTTGTATTACTTTTAGAATCAGTGGCCTAATTTTCAGAGGTGCTGAGCCCTTACAGCTTCCATTGACTTCAACATGAGCTGTAAGGACTAAACATTCTGAATTTCAGGCTCAATGTTATCATTAGAAGCAGTGTCTTTGCAACATGCACATGGTTCTGCTCCTTCCTATGGCCACCTTGCAGAGAGGATCGTGTATATCAGAACAAGATTTGCAGGCTTAGCTAATTTGACTTAATTTTGTTTAACATAAATATAAATGAATGACACCCAAGTTGTGATTTAATAATTTTGTTCTTATTTTGTTTGCACTGGTGGCTCTTTGCATTAAGGATAGAACACTTTTTTATCCTGGGTGTCTATTTCTTGTACAAAGTATTTCAGATTGGCATCTGATGTTTTACATCAGAGATCCAATGGCAACAGTCAATTCTTGGCTTTTTTCTCATTCTTTAATCAAGAGGCTTTAGAAAACCAACACATTTACAATATATTTGCAAGTCCCATACAGTATTTAAATCCCTTGAGAAGAATTTGAGTATGACAGTTTTTTTTCCCAGTAATGCCAACTATACTTGGAAGCTGTGAACCTGTCAACACACAGCATGATGTAAACAAAAGGGGCCTCCTCTCTGATGGAGTTTCAGTTATATCATATTGTAGGTGATAACAGGCATTCTGAAATTGATTAGCACCTCTCATGCTTGGGTATAATTAGACTTGTTTTGCAAACGTTATGTTAAAAATGTATTTCAGAACTGAGTATGGAAGTACTATTTGGACAGCATGCTGCATATCTAGTATTGCCTGGGCTTTGTTTCTAAAACTTCCCATTTCAGTTGAGTGCTGCAGGCTGTAAACTCTAAGGACCTGTTCCCATACTCCTTATGAAGGCAAAACTCCAATTATTCTTAGACCAAAATCACAGCAGCCCAAGTTCTGGCCCTGAATATGTCCAAGCAGCATCCACTGAAGATAAGGGAGTTGTGTGCAAAAGTATACTTTATTCCGCACAGGTTCTTTCACTGCACCACCAGTGGATCTATCTTGTGTGAAGACATACATAGAGAAGCATGTTCACTAACATTTTACTAGAAGAGTATCAACAGTCTCCTTTGCAGTTTTTAACAGCTTTTACTAAGGACAGAAATTAGAATCTGGGATTCTCAAGCTAACTGCACGATGTTCCTTACAGGACACCCCATTATTGTAACAAAGACAACATTTGTCCAAATGAATACAATTAGATCAACTTGCGTCTCTGGAGAGTCAACACTGTAATGTGCTTTTTAAAATGGCTTGGTATCTGCAGTGTGGCTGAATTCTTCCATTGCTCCTTAAATGTAAGATGCCAGTAAAGAGTCTTTTACATTTTAAAAATCTGAATGGTCTATGAAAACCCTCCTGAAGAGTGGACCTTTTAAAATCTGTAATTATATAAAATGCAGACAAAATTCCCTTGCCTTTTATCTCAGAACAATGGAGTACATTTCATTTTAAATTATAGATTGTGCCAAACCTCAGATTTGAACACCCTTAATGGTAGGTAAGGTTTTGAAGTTCTGATATAGCTTCAGACTTCACAGCTTGAGCTCATCCCTATTTCAAAGAGAGACATCAAGCCATTGTTTCAGTCACTGCCTATGGGAGCTGCTGAGGTTCAAATATCGTTCATCTACTCTAAAGTTTTGGCTTATTCAAGTCATATTTTTGTTTCCAAATAAAATTCTTGGTGCAATAACACATTCTTTTTATTTTTTTTTGGAAAAATTTCAGATGTTTAAGGGGTTTGAAAAAGTGAAAGATGTTCAGTATGTCTATACTCCTTTTGATTCATCTCTCTGTGGAGTGAAACTAGAAGCTAACAACAAGAAGCAATATCTCCTCACAGGTAAAATACAAACAAATCTTAACATATAAAATCCTTATAACAAAAAGAATGTTTAATTATTTATCTAGTTGATTTTGTACCAAATATAGAATTAATGCTGTAATTAGTAATTTATGGACATAGTGATACTAACATGAAAATCTACAGAGTAACATACTGATAATATCACCTTGGTTTTATATATCTAGAGCCCTGCAAATCTGATATCCACTTTATATTCGCAGATGTAGACACCCATGGACCATTTTTGCAGATTGTGGATCGGATGGGGATACAAGTTTTGTATCCGTGCAAGGCTCTATATATAGTACCTTTCATCTTTCAGCAGTAGATCTCACAGTGCTTTAACAAAGGAGGTCAATATCATTATGTAAATAGCAATTTCTGTTACAAAGGCTGGCCTTTCTCTAGCAGGTCTCAGCCCATTATTTTGTCCTATTACTAAATTAAACCCTAATCCTGTAAACAATTCCACACGTGAGTGGTCCCACTGAGTTCAATTGGATTACTCACATGCCAAATGTGTTTGCAGGATAGGGTCCTTAATTACTGCCAGATGTTTGTAAAATAATTTTGAATTCTAGTCTCACATAGTACTGTTTTCATATCTCTTGTTGGCAGACCATCAGCATCTTTTAAGAAATATTAACATTTTTCAATCTGCATGTAACAGCACAATAGTTAAGCTGAGCTGTTGTACTTGCAATTTAAACAACAGTTACTGAAAACACGTGAAATCTGACTTATTTGGAGCTATTAGCTTCAAACTTTAGAGTTTCGAATGTAGACTAGGGTTTACAGTACACTCTGGTTCACACACCTTATTTTTGTTATTTCCCCCCAAATAGGCCAAATATTAAATGATGGTAAAGTTCTCATCCATTTATGCAATTACATTGAACCATGGGATGATCTATCCTTGTCTCAAAAGAAGAGTCTTAACCAGAGGTACCAAATGGGCTGTGGCTGCAAAGTAAGTATAGAAATCAGCAGTAACAGTGACTGTCAAATATGTTCAAGGCTCAATCCTTAGAGGAAACAGAAATTTTTTTCTTGGTGGGAACTGCAAAAATACTGTCTTATGCAGAATACATTTTATAAATTATTTGATTTCCACATAATTACTTATTTCAAAATCAGTACAGACATTGTGAGTAAACTTTCATATGCTGAAAAAGTGTGAAGCAAATGAGAAATGTCACTTTAATGGGAATTTTGATGAGTACACTGAACTAACTTCATATTTCACATTTAGATTACTACCTGCTACATGGTGCCCTGCTCAATCACTACACCAAACGAGTGTCTCTGGACAGACTGGCTGATAGAAAGGAAGCTATATGGGCACCAGGCCAAGCATTATGCCTGTATCAAGCGAAGTGATGGCACTTGCAGCTGGTACCGAGGTGGCCCTCCCCCAGAGAAAGAGTTTACTGACATCAGCGAACCTTAAATTGATCACTTCCTAAAAAGCCTGGGAGCCTAATTCCATCAAATGTTGCATGCTCACAGCTTTGAACCGCCAACATCTTATGTATCTGTTGCTTAGAAACAAAAACAAATTGTGCTGTACATGTAAAGTACAGAGTCTGTGGAATTGGCACCCAGGCAAGAAGAGGAACAAATCTCTTGGAGGTAGCTTATAAAGTTCTGCTTTGTGTACAGGGGCTTTAGTTGAGAATGGTCCTCTGTGTTCTCAGAGGCATAACAACTTTCCTTTTTACCAATATGAATGTAGACGAACAAAAGAATGATCAGATTTTTGCCCCCTACTCCAGTTACCTAGCAGATTAAGAAAACCCTGTGTTTCAGTCCAAAACAGTTTTTCTGATACGTGAAGAATGTTATATACAACTTTTTTTTTTCTGTAAGGAAGCCTTCTGATAAAAAAAATATTGTACAGTGTATATGTAAAGTATTATAACAATGTGCTGTAAAAAAGAGTCAAAGATTCATGTTTTCTTCATATTTGTTGAAACAAGTTAAACATTTTTGTGATTAAAAACTTCTATGTTCTTTTCTTTTTTGTATGTTACTTAAATGTCCTATTTCTTACCCGTGTATTATAACATTTGTTTGTAATTAGATTAAATATATATCTTTGATAATCACAAACGCCTATCCAATTCATTGATCCAATGGATTGGCACATCTGTAAAGAGAAGCGTTCTAATGTTTAGGTATTACACCAACAGAAAAAAAATGACAATATGCACCCTTAGACTAGTTAGATTTACAGGAAAAGTAAAGCATGAACATTGTCAGTGTAGCAATGGCACCTGGAAAAGCCTCTGTACATGTGACACCACATTATTCTCATATTTCACTACTGTTATAAGCCCCATTTTTAGCATGAGAGTGACTTTAAGAAATCCCAAAAAATTTGACGATTTTTAATTCTTCAGATTTCAATACAAAATTTACCATTTTTTGGGTAGTCATTTGCACTTTGTGATAATGAATTTTGCAGCTTACAAAAATGTACCAGAAAAGTGTTATCTTTTTGGAGGTTAGGGGAAAAAAAGGCAAGATTTTAAGATTTGAAAACACAATACTGAGCATGCATTAATTTCCATACATTTTTAACTTTAAAGAGGCAAATTAATAAGGGATGGCAAACTTCAAAAGTTTGGCACCAAAGTTGAGAATAATTATCCATATCTATCTGAACCTCTGGGTTTGAGAAACTGAGTAGGAATCCTCATGAGATAAAGACTCTGTTCTGACATTTCCAATATCTCCTAAATATGGCCAGGTCAGAACCACCTCAAAAATACTCTGCTCCTCATTGTGTTTTTGAATTTCACCATGTAGAATTAATGCAAAGGGAGCTGCCATATGAGAGCTGAGAACAATAGTTAGATTAATGACTTTGAACATCAAAAATAGTTCAGGTTTGAATAGAGCCATTTATTATTTTATATGAATAGATTCAATACTTTGGAATGTACTGAATGAAACATCATGATACAGTAATGGAGTAAATGGTCTTTGGAATTGTTATAGTTTATGGGGTTAAGAATCCTACTTTCTGAGTAGTGTCTACACTTAGTTTGCCAAGCAGCTCTAAGACCGCAATCCTATAAAAATGTATGCACATGCTTAAGTTTATGCTCATCAGTAGTTCCATTCAGCTCAATGGAAGGTGCACATGTCTATTACATTGGGCAAACAATGCATACTTGTATAACTAGGTGTTTTCATGACACTCTGTAGTTTATTGTCTCTGTTGATGCCCCTACAGCATTAATATATGTTTTTACAATTGTGTAAATCCATGTTTACACAATAGACAATAACAAGTTTGAAAATGCTACTGTAATAGCATAACAAATAATATATTTAAATATTTTCTGGCTAAGTATTTACATATTTATGCAACACGTCAAGTTGGGGGGGTATCTGTCTTGTTAGTTCTCATATACTGGTACTTGCATGAAAATAATCATCTCTTTTTGGGATGACTGTAAAAAAAATGAAACCATAAAAATAAATAAAACAACCCAACCCCAAACAAAAATACCTATGTTAGAATCTCAAACATCTTATTTAGTCACATAAACAGAAGACTATTTAGCACTAAGGCTGAAAAACTTAATTTAGCACAGCACACGGCACCTGAGATTTACATCCAAAAAATGAATGATCCTACATGCCAGTACCATTGACACTGCACTTTCTTAGAAGCAAAAGGTGGGATAAGATCAGAGATTCTGCCTTGCACCTGAATTTGCTTATATTTGTTGCTTTACAATAAAATAGAAAGTAGTGTTGTGTAGTTATTGCAGTACAGAGAACATTCTGTCCTTAATCTATATAAAATTAAATATTAATGGGCTGTAATAATTCAAGAAAAGTGTATCGTTTCAGTTCCAACAGAACACAGTAGTCAATAAAGCCTCTGGGGACAGAAAGCATTATTTCTTGGAAGAGTAGGTCACCAATACTACTTAATCAACATTTCACCCTTTATTTTATATGAGACCAACTTTGCTGTTTTATGTAATAAAATACCATTAATTTCTTCTGATAAACATAAAACCCAGCCAGTATTCTGCTCTAAAAATGCAGTTTGCAAAAACTAATTTTATCCATACATTTTTTATTATGATTATTTATAAAAATTATATGCTGTGAAAGCTACGCTTTTTCCAAAAACAAAAATGAACTGTAGATAAAATTTTTGGTAGTGTGATTAACTGCTAGTGCAGTGCATATATTTGAATATACTCTATAGGTATATGTAGTTAGCTAAACTTATTGCCTTCTATCATACCAAAACAATTCCCAAATGAAGCTGCAATAGCTTTATGATCAGACACATTTTCTATCAAACACATGGCTAATTTAGTCTACAGTACATGTACATTGGGTATTTGTTTTCAAATTCATTTGATTGTAATGGTGTATTTTGAACAGCACTATGTAGTAAATGGATATTTTCTGCTTTGTAACTTGTTTACTGCACTTCTGTTTATATTTTAAAATTATAAAGTAAGCAGGCCTTAAACTCAATGAACGTAACACACATTGCCTTCTTTCATCATATAGTGTACCTTTTTTCTTAAATATTTATATATGATTTATATTTCAATCAAAACTCTTAAGTGTGAATTTTACTATATGAAATATCAGTTTTCTATATTCAGTCTATGAAACATTTTACAATTGATCTGCCATAAACTATCCAATATAAGGTGTTTCAAAACTAATGTCTGTTGAGTCTGATTTCTGTTTGAACTTAAATCTGACTAGATTTTCCATTGTGGAGAACAGAGAATCTGTCTTTCTAACAACAATAAAGTGGGGAGGCAGAGCATCAAAAGGTACACGAGTACTTATTTTACTGAGATTCAGTATTGACAAGGATGGTAGGGGAAAAAAATCACCTACAGTAAAGCTTTCAAAGTGTATTTTCATATTAAGATTTTCACTGTATTAGCATTCATGTATCAGAACCAACAAACTATTTTTAAAAGAGAATGTCCGCTTTCCAGTTCCTAAAACTTCTGTTGTGTGTGTGTTACATTGAAGGTCAAGGATGAAATGCAGCTTGCTATATCATTTGGTCTTGATTTGAATGTAACTCATCTGACGCATATTCACAGTTGGAAAAGCGTAAGAGAAGGGAGGCTGTGCAAGTGAAAAAAAATGAAAAAAATCAAAGGTTATTACTGAAATTATTTAGTTATGAATAGCTAAATACTGTCTTCCTGTTCTTAAAATAATTCTGATTAATTGCTATCAATGTGTCCTACAAATAAGCCTGAACAGGGCACTTTTTTCATGGGAGAATGTAAGGAGGCAGAAATCTAGTGAAAAAAGAAAACTAATTCCTGAAAGGAAAGCTGCAAACATGTGATCCAAGCTCTGATGAGTTCAAAAAGCACCATTTTGTAAGGTTTCAATCACTTTTTTTTAGTGAAATGTCCCTGTTCCAAAAAGCTTTCCATTAAAGCAGCTCCCAAGCTTGCATCGGAGAATGCTATCTTTGTTTACTTACCTTTTATTGCCTTTGGAAAAACAGTACAAGAGAGCCAGGAACAAATGATCACTAGAGTATGAAAGCAGCAAAAGAAATAGAAGCATAACAGTACATCAACCCTGCTGAGTTCAAAATCTCCTATTCTCAGAGCTTTGGAATACCCTCTTATCCAAAGATATACAGTTTTAAATTATAGAAAACATGTTCTAGTTTATGCCTGGGGGAGAAACGGGACCAGGATGTACAGGAAGAGAAGAAAAAGACCTTCTTTAAAAATCAGAAATTATCTACAGAGGTCAAAGCAATCTCAAACCAAGCTGGATATTAATAATGTTTAAATAAACATTATTACCCCGATATGGCTTCAGCTCATCTACTGAGAAAACTCCCCTCACTGGATCATCTTACATCTCTCCACAGAAATTCCAATAAAAGCTACCTAGCATATTTTTTCTGAGCCACAGACTTTCCAAAACTTCCTCCAGAGGGAAAAACAAACAAACAAATAAATTTACATCAAACTTTCCTCAGTCACGGTAGCACATTTGAAATATACACGACAATACACGACAATCCAATTCAGAGACAAAGAAGAGTTGACTTCAAAATAATATTAATGACACAGAAAATTTGTCAACACTCCACAAACTCACTCAAGCCTTTTGCAATCAAAAGTTTAACAAAAGGCAAAATAATAACCTCCTTGCTCAATCACTAACTATTGCTGTATAGGATCCAAATAGGTAAGAGGACAAGAAACAACTAACATATTGCAAGATGCATTTGAGAACAATCCCATCATCTGTCAAACAATATTTTATGCACTCACAAATAAATACACATTAATACCTTTCCAAGTTTTCATTTCAACTTCAGGATCTGAATTCAATCTATGCTTTAAGACAGCAGGCAGCAGTGGAACTTGGGAAGATGTTGGTCTTTCTGCAGGGCATTATATGCGAGGTACAAGCAAATTAACTGAAACCTCAACCAATTATTGAGACTGAGCAATGGGATATTTTATTCTCGATTTTTGTAACTTCCAGTTGCAGATGTACAGGCAAAAATAGGCTTTTATAGGCTAGCAAAATAATTAAAAGAGCACAAATGAGTCACATGAAGGTCAATACTGACCACTTTTGTTCTTGGCCATCTCCAGTACCCTAACAAAATGTACAGTGTCTAGCAGGTGAAAAGATATACTATGATTTGAAAAGGTGTGATTCTTACTCTCTATCTATAATGAATTAATCCCCCAAACAAAGGACACTTGTTCATTTCTCATGTTTCACTTTTCAAAAATTGGAAAAATGACAAAGTTTTGGACCTTGCTACCAAATGCATCAACACTCATGTCAGGGAAGGTCCTCCCTATTCTCAAAAGATCCTTGGGGGTTTGGACTGCTTGAAATTCACTGCTCTAGATCAGTAACTTTCTTCCTGGAGAGCTCCTGTTCACCTTTCACATCAAATATGTAGCTATTTTTTAAGCTCCTCTCACTTGAAGTTGCACATGGGGTAGGAGGAAGGATGGGAGTGCTAAGCTAATAGTTCATAACAGCCAGGATTCTGCACCAGGCAGCCATAAAAAGGAACAGGGATTTTGCCTCCCTTGCAAAAGCTGAGAAGACAGAGTAGAATAGTCTCATGCTGCCCAGTTGCCAGGAAGTGATTAGAGAGGGAGACAGGGGACTGTGGATGAAACTGTACTCAACTGAAGTCAATGGGAATTTTGCCATTGATTTTAATAGGGTCAGGCAGGATTTTATCCACAGTAATGTAGTGTCAAATGGAGCTACACAGGCAGCAATCATGGTTCAATGACCTATAATTTACTGCTGATTGCTAATGTTCAAATCATGACATCGCAGCAGTACATGGTACATTTGAGTCACGATAATGCAACATTACACAACAGATACTGAAAGGTAAAGTTGGGGCTTTGTGCTGAGACTGCTTTGTGGCTCATTGCTACTTCGTTCCAGGGGAATGGCTCTCCAGCTCAGCAGGGTTGAATGCCTCTCCTCTAGACAAATATAGCTATGGAAGAATCTACATTTAGAAACAATAACAAAAGAAAAATTAAAAGAAGGCTGCAAGATAAGACACTAAGCCTGTGAGAGTCATGCGGATCCTGCAGGCTCTCAATATGGGCGGAGGACCATCTCTTGCAAGTTTGCTAGCAGGTTGGATATTCTACATAAACCTGAATCTCCAGAAAAACATCACCTTTATTTACTCTCAGCGCTTCGGTCCTCCCTCCGTGTTTACTTTTTGATGTCTTCAGAAAGGACCAAGGTTTTCCCACAGCCCACCCACAGAACTCCAGGTGTCACCTTTGGACCTACCCAGGTGTTTGCAGGATGCTGGATGGATAGTCCTGACTCCTTCAGTGGCTTATTAAATGAGCTGCTGTGTAAAGCCTCCACCTTCACATGAGTAATTAACACATGGAGAGAGGTCTGATTTTGTGGGAGAGAGAATTAGGGAAAGGAATAAATCATCAGGTTGAAAACAGAATGTCTGCTAAATAAGACAAATAAACAGGTCAGCAGGCTAAGAAGACAGAATGTCTGAGCCAACTAAGATAAGAGGGAGAACACACAGGGAACTATTTACTATGAACTAGATACAAGGGACGAAAGAAATTAGGCATGTAGAGATGAGATAAAGAGGAAGGCGAAGCAAGGACAGTGCGTGAACAGTGGATGCTGCACAGGGATTGGTTCCTGAAAAGTATCCAAGCTAATCCAAAAATGTGTGATGCAATGTATAGTAAATGCAACGAGATGTGTAATGTACATAAAGGGAGAAGGTTTGTGTGCAACTTTGAAGCTGTGATGTATCCTGTATCAATCAACTCAGTGTAGCAGTGCTGTATGCCAAACAAAGACACCTGAGTGACAAAGGCGGGAGTCGAACTGAGTTCTTGGGAAGCTGAATGGAAAGCGGTCTCAGAGGGAATCCCAACACATATGTGGGTCTTCATATGGAGGCAGAAAGCATCTGCTCCCCTCCCCCATAAAAGGGAGGGAGTGAAACTCACCTGCTCCTGCTGCCAGCTGACTGTGAACTGAGCTGCCTGAAGAGCTACCTACCCCAAAATTCCTGATGAGTTATCCAGGGAATTCCCAGTATTACCTAGCAACCATGCACTAGGGATTATGACATTTGTCCTCCTTAATGTGGTTGCTTAGCTATTGAGACTACTGAATTGGGGATTATGGGGCCTCAGCAGGTTGTTTAACAGATAGGAAACTGGCATTAGGAACAGGATTGTTATCTGCACCTAGTGCCATGTGATGTGTGTGGCTGGCTAGGAACCTTCAACCCCCAGAAATTCATGGATTAATAGAAGTAGTAGCCTTTACTTGGCGATTCCCCAAAGACGTCGCTTGAGGAAGCAGCCACATGGGGCCTCTGAGACACCCCAGATTTGTGGAACCATTGGAGAATTGCATCAAAAGGTACGTAGTATGTGGGGGCCCTGGGTGAGGTGTGAGCATTTGTTGAGTGAGCAGAAAATCTGGGAATTGTGAACAGCATCAGCTTAGGTGCATAAAGGTAAGAGTTGCTCACGAAAGCTCATGCTCAAATAAATTGGTTAGTCTCTAAGGTGCCACAAGTACTCCTTTTCTTTTTGCGAATACAGACTAACACGGCTGTTCCTCTGAAACCTGAAACAACCTGATTTTAGATGGGTTTGCCGTTCCATGCAAACATTTCACACAGCCTTACTCACCACCAATAAAGATAATAAGTATTCTGGGAGGCATCACACAGGACTAGACTGGCAACACTTCTATGAAGTAGTCCCTGCACTTTAGCATTTATATTCTTTTGTTTGTTAGAACCAGTTTGTCTATCTCAAAGCTGAAGGCAGTAATCTTTCGATTACCACAGAGATGCTTTCAAGAGGTCGCCCAGTATTATGCCACTGGAAATTTCCAAAAGAACATTAAAAAAATAGACAGTGAACGAAGGAATCATGGGTGATTATAACTCCAGTTCTGTCCATACAGTAATTGGCTTTTAATGTTACTGTTTGCACCTACCATTTCCTTGTGATTTGGGTAGAATGTTTGTTCAATTAGAGGGAACTTCTCCACACCCAGAGTTTTGGAGATGGACACCAGCTGGGCAAACTGTAAAAGAAAACAAAGAAAATAACAATGCTGAAGGACAAAAACCAAATTCTGCTGATATGACCTCCAAATTGTCATTCTGCATCTTAATTTGTACATTTCAAAAACTCAAGATCAAACACATATATGTATGTTATGTTGCTTTAAATTCAGCCAGATTGTGGTTCTTTCTATATTCTAATGAAGTGCATATGTAACAGCTAATCATTCCATTGCATATATACAGATAACATACATTAGGCTAATGTCTTTAGATATCTTATACTTGACATATCTTATGTGTATTTTGTGATAACAATTATATAAGAAATGTTACATTTCTGTAGCACCTTCCATCTCAAAATCTTGAAGTACTTCACAATTATCTATTAAGCCTCCCAGAACCTTTGTGAAATTAATAGGTCATTTTGCAAGAAGGGGAAACAGAGAGAGGCACTAAGTGATTTCCCAAGATTACACAGCAAGTCAGTAGGAGAGCAAAGAATAAAATTTTAATTTCCTAGCTCCTCGTCCTGTGTCTTAACCACAAGACCATCCTTTCAATACCTTTAGTTTAGAAAGATCCCAATTATTTAACAGAATATGTGTTGTGTGTATTGTATGCAACAGTTTACCCAAAACAGAAATGCAGTCACCTCTTGGGTGGATTGCAGTAACTAACAGTGCAAAGAAACACTATTCAGTAGTTTAGGACAGATAATGAAGAGGAATTCCATATTAAATATATACTACTCAGAAATATCTGTGGGCTGTATTATAACAGTAAAAAACAAAATCAGTTGACATTACAGCTAAGCAAGTAAGATTTCTAGGGAGCAAGAAGAGTTTGGCAGTCAGAAGATCCACTATGGTTTCAAGCCTCCAAAGCTTTTAGCATGTAGATGCCTATCATGTATTTAATTGTTAATTTATGCCAGCCTCAGACAGCACACTTTGCTGGTTAAAAAAAAAGGCGAAGAACAAAAAAACTCTACCATAATGTAGTTTGATAAAATATCTTCTCTGTTAAAGCAGTTGTGACAAAGTTCCTCCTCTGCCTTGGTGGGTCCTGCGCTTATTGGCGGATTTGCTCACCTCAGAGATTCACAGCAGCCCTCAGTTTGGCCACTTTTGCTAGTGGCTCAAACCTGCCATCCACTCAGCTAATTTCATCACCGGCCAGCATGGGAAAAAGGAAAAAGAACAATTCCCACAGTCTCTGCTGGCCCACCTAGTGGGTCAGGGGACAGACCAGGGACCTTCCCCTCTGGTGTGACCCCCAGTCCAGTTCAACTCCTCCTGTATCCAACAGGGAGTTGGGGGAATGGCCCTCCCGCTACTCCAGGTTCCAGCCCAGGGCCCTGTGGATCACAGCTGTCTACAGTGTTTCTTGTGACAGCTATAACTCCCTGGGCTACTTCCCCATGGCCTCCTCCCAACACCTTCTTTATCCTCACCATAGGACCTTCCTCCTGATGTCTGATAACTCCTGTACTCCTCTGTCCTCCAGCAGTATGCCTTCTCACTCTCAGCTCCTTGCACCCTCTTGCTCCAAGCTCCTCGCATGCACCTTACTAACTGAAGTGAGGTCCTTGTTAAAACCAGGTCCCCTGATTAGCCTGCCTGTCCTGATTGATTCTGGTAGCTTCTTAATTGGCTCCAGGTGACCTAATTAGCCTGCCTTAATTGGTTCCAGCAACTTCCTGATTGTTCTGGAACAGCCCATTATCTTACTCAGGGAAAAGGGACCTGCTTAATCTGGGGCTAATATATCTACCTTCTATCACTCTCCTGTAGCCATCTGGCCTGACCCTGTCACACAGTTTAGAACTCAGGTCATACTGAAAACTGTAGAAGGGAAATGAGGCTGATGAAAGCTTTGTGTTGGATTTACAACTGGCACAGAGGATTTGATTAATTTAATGGTGTTTATTTAGCTCTTGTTTTTCAGAAACACATGTTTAACTTTATAAGACCCATGGAAAATGCCTTTACATTGAGTAGCTTTCAGCAAAAGATGAATAAATGCGAACTAGTTGGATGTATGCAGCGTTGCTGTAGCTGTGTCAGTCCCAGGATATTAGAAAGATAAGGTGTTTGAGGTAATATTTTTTATTGGACCGTCTTCTGTTGGTGAGAGAGACAAGCTTTCGAGCTACACAGATGTGAAGCAGAGCTGTGTGTGAGCTCAAAAGTCTGTCTCTCTCACCAGGTTGGTCCAATAAAAGATATTACCTCATGCACCTTGTCCAACTAGTTGGATAGCATATAATACAAAGTTATAACCAAGGGAAAGGAAATGTTATGCAGAATACCAAAATAGAGAGGCTTATGGGTAGGATTCCTGACAGTTTATTATTTATCCCAGTCTCAGGTTAAGGAACATTGGAGCCTCATGCACTAAGGAAATTGGGGGCTTCCCACTTTCCTTGAAGCACTCCTGTCCCATACATAGCTCACCCCACATAGACCCCAGAATGTCCCTCTCTCCCCCAAACACCCACACCCTCAGGTGCCCCTCCCACTCCATTCCATACACATCCTGAATGCCCCTCCCACTCCACATATATCCCAACTATCTGCCACCAGCCTCCATTTACCCTGACAGCCGCCCTGACAAACATGCTGCTTGCCACAACCCCCAACATCTTAGGCCCACTGACACAGCTGCCCAACCCCACTCCCCCAACATTCCCCACTGGCTTCCAACCCCGCAGACTCCCAATCACTCCCCACTCACTCCATAGCCCACCAAGAACTCACCCCCAGGACAAGAGGGGTGACCAAGCCAAATGTGAGTGTATGGCATTGCAACCTGGAGCAAGGAGAGGGTCAGAGCACCACTCAATTTTGTTTTTTTTTTCCCCCAATTGTTGGGGGGCCCTGTACAAGTGCACTGAGGACTAATTGCTTAATCTGGGCCTGGTTTATTCCGATTCCAAACAAAAAACACTGGAAGCCCCTGTATTTGAAATCACAAACAAATTCTACCTATCAAGCACATGACTCTTGCTATGCTACCTGCTGTTTCAGAATATACAGAAAACATAGTGCTCCCATATTAAAAACCATTTATTTAAACCGATTTGTTTAAATAAAACCTTCTCAATAAGCCATGATCTGTTTATTGTATTTCACTATGGTGGTTAGCAAACAGTGAAACAATCAAATATCTAAAGAAAATGGAGAATCTGCACCATGTGTTTTAAGTAATTAAATATATTATTTAATTTTATTATTATTTAGTATTTACGTAATTAAATATAATTGGAATTCAAGATGAACGCGAGAAGTGAATTTAGAGACAAATAAGTCTGATGTATATAATGCTCCATACTCAACGTTGAAAGAAAGTGCAGTACAGAAAACACTTCTTCTCAGAAAGAGCAATGTTGGTCTAAGTCTCTACATCAAACAAAATGAGGACTAAAAACAGGATACAGGAGAGAGAAATGCCTAAACCAAACTCTCAGATCTATCTCTAAATATTGCTTTACTCCATTTCTCTTTGCAAAACTTTCCATCTCAAATTATATCATACTTTTGTTTTCAGAATACCCCTGATGTTATGGTGTGATTACATTTTGTTAAGTATTTTAAAGTTAAGAAAATCTGGGGAAGAGGAGCTAGATATTGTGCATAAATTAAAGTCATAACACTTTTTTTTAAAAAGTGGCAATGTAACAATTTTTGGATATATGTAATTTTTAAATTTTTTTTGTACCATTAAAGGACCTATTCAAACTCAAACAAAATCAGGCCTGAGGATGTTCACAAATGCAAATCCAGAGGTGCATTCAAAGTTTATAAACAGACCTTATCTTTGGGTTGTATAGGTTTTTTTTTTTTTTTTTTTGGCTCCAAACCTGCAAAAACACAAGGAATATGCTTAACTGCAAGCATTGGAGTAGCCTCCATGGTTTCAAAGACACAGACTCATACTGGTCACAGTGCAGATGTGCACAATACAAGTGGTAGCTCCAGAAGGCATTGTGACTCAAGGTAGAACAGTGCCCCCTGGAGAATTCTGCTGCACCTAGGCAGTGTGGCTCTTGTACCACTGTTCAAAATGGTGCAGCACATGCTCCCACATTGGCTCTACGTCTCCCTGCCTGTTATGAGTAGGTTAGGATTTAAAAGTGTGCTGTCAGATCATGGTAGCTAGTTTGATCTCACTAACACCTTCTAAAACTTAACTCAAACAAGGCCTACTCACATCTTTAAGTCATAGTCAAGATAAGGCTAACCTACTGTATTAGGCTAACTTTCATCCTTGTGCAAGGGCAAGATGGTTGTCTAGTGCATTCTTAATTGTCTAGACTACTTTTAAATGTCTTCAGTGACAGGACTTACATGACATGCAAGACATAAGTAGACATATGTTATTTAAATAAAAAATAAAGTTAAGTATTATATAAGGATGCCAAAAACACTGGGGTATTTTAACCATTATCTTTTTAAAAAAATAAATCCATAGGGCTTCACATTTCACCAGGAGAATTTTCAACTTCTTATAAAAGAAAGAAGTTCACGTTCTTTTGGTTCTAATTTTAGTTAGTTGAGTTTCCTCTTCATTTTTAAAGACTGTGTCTTTGTCCTTTTCAGCTGTGACAGGGATGAGAAAGATTCACAATTAAATATATTTACGGCTTTCAAGGTTTTTCTTAAAAAAATTCTTGTGGCTTTAGAACATTTTTTATAATGTCTCTTCCATCTTTGCCTATAGATGTTTCTCTCAGAGAGAGCAGTGGATGGCCAGCTGCACTACTTCTCCAACAATGCATCACACAGAAAATAGGAAGTATTTAGCCAGAGAGATCTTTGATTTAATATAAAAGACTTATGGATTTTTGTTACAAAGTGAATGGGACACTGTAAATTTGACTGCACATACTGTACTGCAGGCAGACGGCTAACAGTTATAGAATTCACTTTGTGTTAGCATCACAATTAAAGGGTTGGGTAATGACCTTGCTTACTATTTGCATTCTATTAGAGTGCACTTAATTACAGGTATGTAC